ACTTTATTTGGTTTATTTTTTCATACTTTATTATATTAAAGTATTGATTGTTTTGCCAACAAGAAACAAGAAGGACCATTACAATAAAAAGCTGGAGTTGGACTCACAAGGCACTGCATACTGAGTGTACAGGTAGGTTTTACAGTAACAAACCTACTTCAAAAAAAGTGTACGCTCAAGTGGTGGGAAGAGCATTCAAACCTTTGTGTGTCTGATTAATGAAACTGCCACACAGTATCTACAGTAGACATGAGGCGATTTCATTGCAGATGGATGAACAGAATGCAGCTGCAAAAACAAGAGCATGCCACATCAATCTCTTACTGTCAGTCCATTTACATATACGGTTAAACACATGCAGGTGTGGAATCTCCTGGCCCATTCAAAGGATGTTGTGGTCCAGCAAAATTTGCATATTCTACAGAATGAAGAGTATCAGATGATCTGAGGTTACTTATCATGTAGGAGTCAGCCCACATGAAGCCTACAGTGTTCATCAATCATCCAGATGTGTCTTCACGGCTTGTCTTCGAGGCTCTAAGTATGATTGTCCAGAACAATAGGGGAGTCTTTAAATGAAAAGTTAAAAAAGTTGGGAAACACTCATTTGCTTTATTGCTGGGAGATAGATGAGAACATAAATATATGATGCTAGAAGTGAAATCAGTATTTGCCCATTGTAATTAGTAATTAAACCAGTTACAATTAGTGGTGAAATGAGCATTTTACATCTGAAGGCAATACAATGGCGTAACTAATGAATTCCTGTGTTGCTCTTCTACTTACTTAAATAAGAAAAAAAATACATTAATAAACATAACATGTAATTATCTGAATTTATTTTATTAGTGACATTGTGAATTTATTAGGCAACACATTGTTTCACACAGTTTGAGATGAGAATGCGTCCACTGTCACTGTACTTCGCAGTTCCGTCGCCAGTGAGAACAGCCGACTGAATGAAAAGCGCTGTTCCTCAATTAATGTATGATGCATTATCTAATAAATCACTAATTTTTTCCACGTACCGAGCAACTGTCCATCATGTGACTGTGAGTATGGAAAGCTCCTGTCAGCACTTTGATTCTATTTTGAAAAGAGCTGATACAAGAGGACTGGAATAAGCAGTTTAATAGAAGTGAGTCTGTTAGTCACTCACTCTCAGTGCTGATGATGGCAAGCATGTATTTTCAATCATGTCACAACAAAGGATACATGATGTTCTACCCAATATGACATTGGTTATGTCAGCATAGCTATATACTCTATTCACTGTGTATAGACATTGTGTAGGGCACAGTAAAACTACATATGTTTACTGTGAAATCTATCAGTTTAATGTTCGTTCTCCTTCATCAAATAGCCACCAATTGCCCACTCTGATAAAAATCAGACATGAAAGGGCAACAGGAAATTGTAGCTCTCAATATCTACTCTGGTGCTCTCTCGCCCTTCCCCTCTCTGCCAGGTGTGTATCAGTGTGTGTGCATGCTCTGCACAGCCAAGTTTCTCTTCTCCCTACAGACCCCACAACCCTCCGTGTGTCTACAAGACAGATGTGCAAACCAGATGTTCCTGCACTGAGGGGAAAGGGCTACAGACAGACCTGCTGTATTTGTCAGTGTTCTTAGTGTTGGGATGTTGTACGGCTAACGGTTTGGATCACCAACAGATTCAGGAGCTGTCAGATCTATCAGTGTTATGACAAATTCAAATACACAACTACTCACACCGCCTTTTGAGTCTGGTCATGTTTTCTAAGACCTGAATCTCATCAGGGACTCTTACTTTACAGTTGGATTCTTTCACAGCTTTTAAGGTAGAGGAGTCAAGAAAAATGTTCAGGCTGCATGGTAAAGGTTGTCTCATGCGAGTTCTGCTCAAAACATGTCCGGTATAACAGCAGGCAGGAAAATACCTTAGATTACACAGCACAACTATTGTAGGCCAAGGAAAGAGATATTGTGTGTTTCCTCACAAGGAACTCTATCAAGACTACATACACACAAACTTTAAAATAAACAGGCACGATGATGTTTTATTCAGTAGGTTAGCCGTTCGGCAGCTATTTTTAAAACAAACAGGAAAAAAAATGCTGGCACTGCAGGTGAGTGGCAGCTTCACCCATTCCCCTCCTCTCCTCACTCCATTAGCCTCTGCAGAGCCAGCCAACCGAGGATTACGGGGGCCGGCTTGCTGTCTAATTTCAAAGATGTTAAATTCTCTCTGAGCAGTATGGGATTCACTCAAGAGAGTCATCAAAGTGTTGTGCTTGAGCAAACTGAAATCACTAAGAGGAATGAGGATAAATCGGACTTCATAAAAACTGATTCTGTGCTTGAAAGGAGTTTATCATCTTAACTCAGGCAGAAACTAAAAAAACAAATTGGACATTCAAGCTATGATGAGAACTATCACAGAAAAGAGTTTTTGGGTGTAATTCTTTCAGAACTGCTTAAACAACTGGAGAAGATGTCAGATATTAAAGCAAAAGTTCAACATTTGAGAAATACACTTTGCTTTCTTGCTGAGAGTTACAACAGAAGATCGATACCATTCTCATATCTAAAAGTTAAATATGAAGCTACAGCCAAAAGTCTGCTGGCTTAGCTTAGCTTATCTTAGTGCAAAATCCGCCGACCACTACATCTAAAATTCACTAATGAATACATTATATGTTATTTTGTTTAATCTGTACAAAAACCCCACAGTCTAAATGTAGTCTTGCACACACCGCAAATTGCTGTTTTCATTCTTAGCTAAGCTACCCGGCTTCCTGGTGTAGACATGAGTGGTATCGACCGTCTCATTCAGCTCTGAACTTAAAACTGAAGAAACATATTTCCCCAAATGTTTCATCAGATCAATGGACGTGATATGTGCAACCCATTTTCTTGAAAATCCATGCCAAACGTGGTGTAGCTAACCGTGGTTTGTTTTCATGGGCTTTTCCAATAGTAACTTCAGCCTATTAGACCTTCTCTGTTTTTCTAAGTGTTTATTTAAATTCATACAGGGGCTGAACTTTGTAGATTTTCCTCATCCTTGTGATTTTTCATTCATGTGCTTTTTATATTCAAAGCCCCTAACAGAAACATTTCAGTAGTAAGCATAAAGATTTGTATTTGCATATTAATTCATTGAGCCACTGTTGGTTCTTCTGTAGATTTTCAGTGAAAATATTTTCCCTAAGAGGGTGAAGAAAGAAACTTGCCAGCGGTCCAAATGTGTTTTAATTATACGTGACTTAATGACTAGATGACTTAATTTTCACAGCTAGTTATTATAGCTCAGCACAACACCAAGTAGGGATAAAAAGCTGCGGTTGACCATATCTAAAGTCTTCTCATTTTCTCTAAGATAAGAGCTGTAGTTCATTGTACGGTGAGTGGCTTTTTTCATACATATTAAATCATTTGAAGTTAATCTAAGAGACAGTATTACCATATCTTTTGCAAGTCAAAGCCTTCATTATGTGAACATTGCTCGGTATATTGGTCGATTAGTCATCTTACATTTTCAGTTTCAGGGAAAAAAACACTGAAATACTTGAGCATCAGCCTCCACTGGGAACACTGTAGATGAATTTGTTACGTTCTAATCAATGATCAGAGGAGTTGTAAAGTTCAGTCAGATGGTTTATTTTGGGAGGACAAGGTTGACGCATATTCAGCAAAAGTCTGCACCTCAAGTGTCACACGCTTTCATTTCACAAGCTGTTGCCTTTCGTAAACTTTTCTCTGGTAGTGTTGCTGCCGATTGTGTGCGTTTGCCATGAAATGGGAAGTTAGAGAGACAGAGGTATTTTTCCATTCATCATAAAATACCTAAGGCTTAATTCAGTGACTTTTTAGTTCTTCTTTTCATACTGTGGGATGTGATCTCTCGTTACAGTCACGTAAAAAAAGCTAATAAAACGGCACCAAAACAGAAACCACTGTTCTTTTTTATTAGTCAGATGATAGAAATCAGTCTGTGTCTGTGTTTCGCTTCTGATATGATGGATATGATACTATTAACGAGCTTAATTGTAGAGCTGAATAAATGCATACTGTGTACAGGAGTTTTTTTTTTTTGTCTGTCATTATTATAATATAATTGTTGGTGTCACTGGAGGATTTCGCTTCCCACGATGCTCTAAATACCACTTATTCACATTCATCATGATTAAATGGAAGACAATGACAACTCACCAATCAATATTTCATCCTATGTTTCTCCCACTGACACATACACACATTTTATCTCGGACACATGACCCCATCTCGTCTCATAAACGCCTGACGTCATGTGCACCGGGGTCCAGCAGCACCCTCTCTCTGCTCAAGGCTGCCATTTCTAATTAAACCTCCTGGGTACTTCGCGAGGGTGTCAAACTGCCGCAGACAGCTTCACTACAAGCAGACACTGAGAGTATCAAAGTAATGAACCCGAGGCCAGACTTTTAACCCCTCGTAAAAGCCTGAGCGCTGAGGCATTTTCACTCTAATGAGAGGAAGTGCTTAAGCTGCTGGGTCATGTTGCTGACTTCAGCTTTTACGCAAGGTTTTAGGAGTGTGAGGAAAGCTGCAATCTGGCCTAACAATGTTTCTTAGCACCGGTAATGCCAGTAAGAACATCTACTAATTGATCTACTAATTGACACTGAAATTGCTGATTTTTGCAGGTTTAACTATACAAAGATTATCCAAAATTTGGCTGAAATATCAAAGGCCAGGCTTGTGTACATCTTTGTAAAAAAAGGAGCACAGACTCTGCATGCATCTCCCAAGAACTTCATTATAATTTAAAATCCAAGTCCAAGATAAAGGAGCTTTTTCACTTATAAATAATTTTGACTAAGCTCCATAACGTCCACACAAAGACAAGAGTGGGCGTAGGAACACATTTGACTAATTCACTTCAGTCTTTGGGGACAGCTGGCAAACACAGTGAGGGTTGCTGCAGCAGGCTGTTGTTGCCTCCATCTCATTCTGCACCGCTGAGCAATGCCGCCTTACCTTTCCAAAGTCCCTGACGTCAAAAAGGTCAAAGGCCTCGAACAGCTCGCTTTTCTTCATGCCGAACATCTCGTTGCACGCTGCCAGGAAAGTCCTGATATTCTTCAGGCACAGGAACTGCGTTGGGAAGACAGAAAGGGTTCATCTGTTAGCGAGTCGCCTAGAAATGTACAGGAAGTATGACGTGCACAGATAATATGATGTGTTATTATCTTTCATTTTCAAAGAGCTAGCGTGTGGATTTTTGTATGTCACTAAATTGGTTCTGCTTTTCTTTTTCAGCCTGCTAGCTCTCACTCTGGTTGTCTAATCAGGGCGTACAGCTGAGGACCTGCTAGACACACTGAAGGACCACAGCTCTAAAAGATAGATGAATCACTGTTTATAGGCACCATGAGAGCATCTTGTTTCATTAATATGATGTATTTCCTGTTGAAATGGGACAGTGGAGTGGGGCATAATTAGAAAGAGATAATTCAACAGCGCAGGGAGAGAAAGGCAGAGATCTTATTTATTCCTGCTGGTACAGTATAATATAATTGCTAAGATACTGTAGAACAAAAAAATTGCTTTTATATATAAACCCTTCCTTAAGATTGAATCTCTCCTTATATTTGCTGTTTGACTGTGCAGTGATATTACAATATACCCCCACCGTGTTCTTTTAACCAAAAATCAGCAACTACCAATACTCTTTTTTTGTTATTTTGTCTACATTTTTGGTTCCAAGAGAGTTCAGCCCATCAATCTGTGATGTCTTTGGATTTTCTGTTCATAAAGTGTGAGGTTCTGTAAGCATAACAGTTATTTTTGTTTGTTCAGCCATGCTGGATATCACTGCTCATTCCTGCTGCCCAGCTCTAAGCATGTTCTCATAATTGTCATTATGAGCATGTTCACTGTGTACAGCCTCACATAACATGGCTGTACCCTAAATCACCTTGAATATATCTTTTGTACTTCCATACTACAATTTCTTGTAATTTGTAATATTCCATACAAACAAGAAACAGAAATATTAGCTCTCATGCATCAGAGTATTTTTTCCCATGAAAAACAAAGCCATTAAATTAGAATGGCAAATGTGAAAGCTGTCATAATAAATAAAGAGAATTATGTTGTCTGTTGGGATGAATCATGTGTCTAAATTCAATCGTACGTTATGACAGTTCAATATGAGTCATGGACTAATTTCCATAGAGGTTAACAAGGTTGTTGCCAAGAGTTAAGTAACACAGTGCAAGTACTCTGCGGTAGAGGAAAACAAAAGGTCAGGAAACTCTTCCTCTGCTAATTTTTATACAGTGCAAGCTTAATTACAGCTGAGCGTGGACCTTGGCCCAGGAAAATGTAATCAAACAATCAATAAGTAACTCCTCTAATAAACAAGGTCATTTACTGAGGATGCAAGCGTTTTCTGCCTCGTTAGCAACCTAAATCTTTCACTAATGATGTTAATGGAGCTTCATCCAGAATGATTTATTCAAATTATGCAGCGGTTTGCCCTGAATGCTGCCCAAGAACACACATGAAACTGAGTACTGGGGGGGGGGCAAATCATTAGTATTAAGGCTCTGTCTTCATGAAGAGTGCAGAGTGACTGGCAGTAACTGAAGTGGAAAGTGTCAACATACTGTAGTTAGCCAATGTGCAGTAGCCGTGGCTTACGCCCATTGATCTTCCCCTAGTTTATAAAATATGTTTTTTTGCCACCTCATTGTCCACCACGGTGCTGGGATTATGTTCAACAGATGACCTTATCTGTAAATATGCTACTTCTGAACTGTACATTGTGGAGCAATGTTGGATTAGAAGCTATTTTTACGGCTATTGTTTTGCCCTAACTTGCAAATATTTTCAATAGTTTACCTATTACAAGCAGATCATTACACATGGTTATGTGGCTTCATGCAAAGTGATGCTTGCATGATGGAACTGGTACGGTGTAACATCAGTGTCAATACTGACATGCAGGGTACAAAGACAACAAAATATCACAGCCAACACAAAGTCAGACAGAACAATTGTGTGTTTGTGCAATCGAGCAGTGAGGCTGCACCAGTACAAGGGACCAGCATTTAAAATGAACAAAGACAACTAAAAACACTGGACTGCAATACAGAGAAGGACAAAATTACTCAAACAGTGAAAAGAAAGGAAAAAGGACTGAAGCATCAAATGGTGGTTACATTTGCAGGCAGACATGGAAGTTACCCTAATTTGTGTCAGCTTTGAAAAATGTCACAATAACATTTGAATCGTACGAAAACATCAGTCTTATTTTTAGCACCACAGGAGAAATGCAGTTAAAATTCCTTCTGTTTTTGTCATTTTGTCCCTTCTCTACAACTAAAAATAACATTTAATAAAATTACTTCATCGTAGATAAGTCTCCATATACCATTGCCTCTTCATCATCCTCATAATCTTCTTCTTCTTTTTTTTCTTGGGTAATAGGTTTACAGGAAGTGTATTTCATTAGCTTCTACCGGTTTCTTCAAATAAGCACAACCCTGTGCCATGTTGTCCGCCTGTGTATGTCTGTGATCATGTTTGACAATGTTTGAGAAAATAATTCTGTCGGTGTAATCTTGATAAACAAAAAGACTTATTCTTATTCTGTTCTTCATAACACACCTCCGCCCTAGTGTTACAAAGCGATATCAGCTTTGTCTTTAAGGCGCATGTCCATGCATCAAATATGAAATGCCTCTCCACTCCAATTGAATTAGGCTTTACAGATGGCTTGGCGAGAGAGAGAAAAGCCCCCAGCCAGAGAGCTCCAGATAAGAGGCAGCGCAAGGCAGCGAGCGAGCAGCGAGTGAATAATATTGAATGTTTACACTTGTACACATCACTTTCTTTTATCAGACAAGCACATCTTGTCTGCCTGGAGTCTCTGGAGAGTCCCAAAGGACCTCGGTATATTATCTGAGGGAAGCAGATCCACAGAGCGCATATGAAAGACAGTGTCTCTGCTGAAATGAGCTGTAGAGTAGAGGGGGAATTGTATTAACAGGAGTGTAGCAGCATGAGGCAACTAGTAACTGTTCCACTGGCAGCTTTTCTTCTGCATTAGTGTCTCTCTGGGGCTCAGGAAGTGAATGGCCTAGTGTGTGTGTGTGTGTGTGCGTGTGTGTGTGTGTGTTTGTGTATGCACATCTGTATCTGTATGCAAGTGCTGTTGCCTGTGTATAAGCCAATGCCATTATAAACATAGTAAACTAAATATAGTAATTCATTTAATTCATGTTCATGGGTTATGAGTATTACATATTAAATGATTATTTGGCCCGGAGCTACACATTCTCTTTCTTGTCAAGAATTAGATAAGAAGATTGATACCACCCTCATGGCTGTACAGTAATATGAAGCTATCACCAGCTGCCAGTTAGCTTAGCTTAGCTCAACAACTTTAAAGGTGCTGTTAGGTGGATTTTGTTGCATTTAGAGACAGGGTCAGGCTAACAGCAGAGTGGTATCGAGCTTCCCATCTACATCCAACTCTCGACATGAAAATGAATAACTAACTAATATTTACCCACCTTAACCAGTTCTCTACAGTTGAAATAAAACCTGCTGAGTACAAAAGACAAAACAAAGAGAATACAAGTAAAGAATTCTACCCATTTAAGAAGACCATGTGATGCAGCTGAAAGGTCTGGGAAAAGCCAGTAAGTGGACCTTTACCTCACACTTTTTGCTCAAAAACGTTGAAACACCTAGTAACATTAGAGCTACCACTGACCAATAGATAGCACTGATACAGGCTACAAAGGTATTGGCATATAGGTCGGTGGGTACTAAATTAAATAAAACTTAAATTGCTGTGCAGAAACAGCAAAGATATGTTTTAAGTACATATTTTGGTCACAATTCTGTGTAAAAATAGATTGTAGAGGTCCTAATCAAACATGCATTTTTATGTCATGTGTTTATGAAAAAATAACATTACATTGTTGTCAATATGATAATAACAATATTACTATCAGCCTCCAAAAAAACATATTGGTTGGGTTCTAATTATAACCCTGGTATTCATTAATGTACCGGGTGAAACAGAAAAAAATAAAATAAAATCCAAAGCAAATATAACCCTCAGTGTTAGTATACCTATTTCTGCATATCAATGAAACCTGCTAATAACCTCATTGTGTAGAATAAAGCATTAAGGACAGATTATGCTGCAACATCTCAGCATGAAGCTCCAAACACACACTGACTTAGTTAGGATGGAAATGCAGTGTATGGAGGGCTTAAACTCCCACCAGTGCATTTCATCTCTTAGACCATCCATCTGGAATATAAGTGAAAAAAAATATTCCTGTAAGTCAAGCCATCTCGCCGCTGTGCTTTTGATATGAGCCAGGCCGTGCTCTGTATCCACAATAAGTATCCAGTTTCTGCTTATGTATTCCTTGGTACAAGTCAAAGCTCCATAGCAACAAGCTGGAGCCTTTTATGGCCCCTGTGCGTATTGTGGAGCTTAATGAAATCCTGTTCTTGTTCTCTCATATATCCACGCAATGAAAGACAGCCAGAGTTTGGCCATGTTACTGTTTAAACCTCGCTGAGCATCAATTAATGGCAATCAAACAGATGAGTCTCTTGCAGAGGGAATCAAGCCCTGTGCAAAGAATCTAATTTAGTAGTTAAAAGCTCTTTCTCCGTCTGATTGATATGTTTACTGATAACAGTGCGGGAAAGTAAAGAGGGAAGCATGCTTAAGAAGGGAAAAAATGCTAATAAGACATAGGTTCTTCAGTTTCAAACCCCTGCTGGATTACCTCGCTGAGGTTTTGTGTCCGGAGTGAATGACATAATGTGCACAGCCCTGATCTGTGGAGCTCTGTTGTCAAGACTCTCCAAGTCATAACCGGTGGGTGACAGGTCACATCCATGTCATGTTGGAGCTTTTGTCAGCTGTGTAACCAGGAAATGAGAGGTGGAACGTAGGCGACTGTTCTCCCTCAGTCTGAGGTTGGGGTCATAACAGCAGACAGCCCATGGCCAGACACCCATTAGCTTACTTATCTCAATGGAATACTGTCAACATAATGCAGTGGCCAGCAGCTATTCATTCCATAGATATAGTGTGGTAACTGATTTCATAGTTC